TGGGCATTGGGGCACGATTATACACGTTTCATGTTATGGGGTTGATCATGCATAATCGATCCTGGGTCCCGATCGGTGCTTGTGCAATGTATCATGACGCACGAGCTGTTCCGAATTTTTTGCCTATAACATTTCCCTGGCACTTATCTTATGTGTACCACACATTAGAATTCTGGCGGTTATTTTATTACTTGATCGTTCCTGTGATTGTGGCTATTCTGATGTATATAAAGGAAAAATGGTCCTAGTTTCTTGAGTCTTTTTGCTGTTTGGGTTGGAATTTCTTGTTCACTGGTGGCTTCCTATCCATTTCGTTATCGAAGTCAGTTTCTCTTTAAGGCTGAAGGTCTTAGCACAATGAATTAGGGTAGGTATTATATTTATTATTATTATTATTATTATTATTATTATTATAATTTTTTATATTTTATTTTTTTTTTTTTTATTTTAATTTCGATATTAATAAGTGATTGGTTTAATTTAGGCATAATATCTGCCATTCTCTATCTGGATTGAATATCTTGAAAGCTAAATAATGTATCGATAAGTATCAGGTAATTTTATTTGTTTTATTAGTAAATCCCTTTTTAGTCTTTAACCACTATTTCTTCTTTTTGTTTAGGCCTGCTATTCAAAACTAGGATGGTTATTTTTGAGTTCAGCGTAAGTACTTGTGTCAGTTCAGTGTTGTGAGTGATAATTTCGGTAATTTCTTTTGCTTGCCTTTAGATCCTTGATTATGTGATTCCGAGTAAGTCTCAGTACTCTTGACTGTTTTTTGGATTCAGTTCATCCATACTTTAAGCTCATCCACTTTTTTATTCCATTGAGTACAGGCTTCAGAAAGGTTTTCAAAGTCAACTGACTTGCCTCCTAATTCGATGGCTTTATTAGACGTTCCATTAGTGTTACCCATGTCAGCAGGTCTTTGATAGTAAATGAAGGCTTTCTGTGCATCTTTTTCAACACCCACTCCATATCGATGGCAATGTTCAGCAGTATTCATGACAACAGGAGAGCCGAACTCACATGATTGCGGATGGATATCGTAGGGTTCATATTCATCCTTTTCGGCTGCACTTCTAGGGGGCTCTTTTTTGGGCTCAAGTGGGTCTCCAGTCTTCTTTTCACGGCAGGGCCCAGAACCATTTTGTCTATTCAAACTGCCATTTTTATCGGCCTTTTCAACTTCAATTCCATTTTCGTAATGATAACTAACATTAGATGTTCCTTCAGCCTGCTTCATGTCTGCAGCTTGCTGGGGATATTCGAATGTCTTATGTTCATTTCCTTCAATTCCGATTCCCTTACATTCAGCTTTCTTAACCTTTTTGGCTCCAATTTCTCTCTTAGAGCAGGGGCCAAGACAGCTTCGTTCATTTGAATAACTTCTTCAGGATCATTCAGATACTGTCCAAGTGCTTTATAGTCGGCCTTTTCAACTTCAATTCTATTTTGATTACAGTAATCAACATTATGTGTTCCTTTAGCATGTCCCATATCCACAGGTTTTTGATAATAAACGAAGGCCTTGTGTTCATCTTTATCAACACTAATTTCATACCACTTTTGATATTATACATTCCATTAACATCTCCTATCTCAGAAACTTTCTGAAAATATTTGAATAACTTGCATTCATCTTCTTCAGCTTCAATTCCCTTTTCGTAATCTGGTTCAGCAGATTTCATATATTATTCAGATGCTCTCTTTTTATCCTTAACAGTACTTATCCCATTTTGATAGCTAAATCCAAGGTTACTTTGCCCAATGAAATTACTGCTTTCAGAGGATTCAGAGTACCATTCAAATACCACCTTGCTTTCATATTTTTCAACACCAATTTCGTGTTTGTAACCATTTCTAATGTTATATGTTCCTTCAACATTACCCGTATCAGCAGATTCCTGATAATAACTGAAGGCTCGATATTCATCCTCTTCGATTCCAATTCCATGCTGATAATGATATCCAACATTATTCATTCCATCGGCACCTCTTATTCAGCAGATCTCAGGCACCATCCTAATGTCTTCATGCTATTTGGCTCAATCTTTAATGATTTATTTAGATCAGTAGGTGATTCTTCAGATTTATTCATCTAGTGGTAAGTTTCTCTTTGATTATATAATGCAAGTGCACCACATTCATCACTCAGATCTAACCTTTTTACTTTCATTTTTATCATCCAGGTTTCCAAGGTTTTTAGATAACTATCGATCAGGTGTTCTAAGGCGATTTCAGGGTCAGTACCATCGATTTCGGTTGCTTTTTTCATAGGTAAGGTTAAATGGATATAGGAAAGTAAATATAACATTTCTTCGTTTTCTTCATCCATCCTACTGCTTGTGCTAACATTTTTTAATATTTCCCAGAAAATTTTCCAGGCCTCAGAAAGTTGCTTATCCTCAAGACTTAGATCTCCAAAAGTTTCATTGACAATGTTCTGAACCTTTGTGGCTTGTTCGTCAGTAAGTATTGCGTATAGCTTTGCACATTTCTTTTGTATCCTTCCTACTTCAGGACACTTATTAGCAATGTGGGTTTTTCTCTTGCAATAGGAACACAAGATTCTTCGGTAGCTCCTTTGAGTTGATTTATCACTGCGTGAAGTTTGCCAATGCCAGCTTTCTACTTGTCTTAATTTCGTCTCTTGGTAAGTTTTATATATATATATTTTTTTTTATATGTGTTCCAGTGATTATTTATTACTATAACGATATTTATTATGTGTTGACTTTAAACTTCTAGTTGCTATAGGTTTATTTTTCTGATTCTGTAACTTTATTGTTACTTTAGTAGTTTATTTGTCGATCTTATAACTATATTTCTGGCAGTTTTCCTTTTTGCTGATATTAGGATTACTTTCACTTTTTGAGTTGTTCTGGGATTACACTTTTAATGCTTAATGAGTATGTGGTTCAATAGGGAAGTATCCACTTTTTATTTTTTTATTATTATTTTTTTTTTTATTATTATTTTTTTTTTTTTTTATTGTCTTGTTATTTCTATTGATACTAATGGATTTTTTTTTTTTTTTTTTTTTTTTAATTTTTGGTACGTCTGCCACGGGCTATATCTACTTCTTGCCGATACGTTGGCTGGTTGACTCAAACTTTTGTTGGTATGGTATTCTACGATAACAAATCGGCCTTTGGTATGTTGGTCGTCTTGTGTCAAACGTCTGTTACTCAAAGTAATTAGATCTGGAAGTATTTTCTTTTTATATTTTGTTGATTTGTTATAATTTTCTACAGTAATAATTTTTTAAAATTTTTTTTTTTTTATATTTTTACTAACATCTTAACTTCCTCTTGGTTTGCCAGGACATCGGAACCTGGGCTGGATTCTGTTCTTCAGATTTCAAGGGGAAGTATTACTTTTACTAATTTTTTTTTTCTTTTTTTTTTTTGTCCTTTATCAATCTTCTAATGAAAATCTTTCTTTCTCTTCTTTTTCTTTCTTGTCCTCTTGTCTGGATTAATGTTCTTTAGAAACAGTATGTCGGTCTGAGTGATGCAACCCAAAAAAGAAAATATGCAGTTCTTCAGACTTGGTACATCATCCTAGGTGGCTCAACCTCTTCACGGTATGTACGTTTTCCAATTCTCTTTATGTATCTTATTGTCCTCACTGTATGGTTTTTCTTTCTAATACTTTTCTCTTTTCTTTGCACGTTTTTCAAATCAGGGAGGAGGGGTACAGACGAATCTCACAGTCACTACCAAAAATGTGATGGGTAAATGGCTACAACTAACCAGACGTCACGTAACATTATGGATACAGTGAAATAAGGCTTCGAGGTGTAGATTTGATTTGGGCGAGTATCACTTTATTCTTTTATTTATTTTGCTTAGATTTCTTTATTAAATTCTAACTAACTATCTTACAAATGATTTAATACTATTACTAAGAGATTTTGACTTTTTTCACACTACTTGGGGCACCAAAGCTTAGTATTACTTTATTAAACTTTTGTTTGCTTTTATATTCTTTTACATTTACTAACATATTCTATTTAATTTTAGCTTTCCTCCCTATTTTCCCACTATTCCGCCACTATACAATTATGGTTTCACTTAATGGGGTAAGTATTATATTTAGTATACTGTATTTAACTTTTATTTCAATGCACTTTACTGACCCATCTTTTTACCACCTGGATCCCACCACTCTGAAACATCGCCATTACGATCATAATGCCTTCTCTGATTTGGGCATATTCGTTTTGCTGGGAATTTTGGGCATTGGGGCATGATTATGCATGTTTCACTGTTATGGGGTCGAACATGCATAATCGATCCTGGGTCCCGATCAGCACTTGTGCAACATATTATGACACACGAGCCGTCACGAATTTTTTGCCTGTAATAGTAAGAATTTTTTGGTGTGAAAATATTAAAGTTTATAGATTTTAGTAAAAATGATACAATATTAGTTTGATGTTTTGGGTTTTATTTATTTATATGCTTGATATACTTTTCGGATTATTATTTATTTATATATTTGAAATACTTTTTGGCTTATATTTATCAAATATGGTAAAGTATATGAGTTTTGTTTTAAATTACATATAGGATAGTAGTAAGATTAAGTAAATTGTTATAGGTTTAAATAATTTGGTTTAGTTTTTTTTTTTTGTATAATATATTCGAGAGTTTATATTTTGTTTTTTGAAGTACAATTGGATATTAAAAGCAGTGTTTTATGTTATTTGTTTGTAGTTATTGGTGTTTTTTGTTTGAGTTGTATATTTCATCAGATTGATTATTTACTTTTTTTGTCATAATTATTGCTTAATTTTTGAGATATATTCTGAGTTTTTGTCAAGATAATATAATTTAGGTTTATGTTTATTTATTCGTGAGGGATTTGAACATATAAGATTAGAAGGTTTTTATGTGTTATGATGTAATTTTTTTGTACTTATAAATATAAATTATCATATATTAATATTTCAAAAGTAAGCATTTTGTAAGTTAAGTTTATCTGATTATCTGATGCTATGTCATGCAGATACAATTGTTAGAGTAAAATATGTTAAACAATACAAAAAAGAGGATATAAATTTGTTAGTAGTGTGGGCTCTTGGAGCATATTCTGTAAAATGTAAAGATTATGATATTAAGATGACTTTGTTTGTTACTATAAATCCTAAAGATTGGGATTATAAGACTCAAGCAGTTTTTGAAAAAGATCATTTTTTTTTGGTCAGTAATTAGATCGTACCTGGATATTATGATAGAAATAAGAGAGCAAAGGTATTTATTATATATGTGATCAATATTATCTAATTGTTATTTCTTTTGAATGTGTATGCTGTCTATATGCATTTTAAAGTTTTTAAGTTATATGTAGTTAGATATTATTGATTTTGTATGTTTTGTTGTTATGGTTTTATAGGTGCTTATTCTTGGTACCAAAAATTCTAGATAACAGTATCAACATGTACACATTTAGTGATTCTTAACAAAGTTATTGAATCGAATAAATGTCTTTTGAAGGTTTCTTTAGTCAGAGTTCCTCAGAAAATGCCAAATGAGATTAAAGATTATGCCATTTTTAAAACATTAGTGACTGATTATTTTGGTCAAGAGCAAAATTTTATTATGAATGTTGTTTTTTCATATAATTCACATTTAATATATTTAAAAGATATAATTCGTGCTTTGAAGTCATTGATTTTTGTGGTAGGACAATTGGAAATAATTGATAATGAATTTTACGTTTTGCAAAAGATGTTAGTTACATGGATATACATTTTGTTAGTAAGAAGAAGTCTTTTGATAGTAATGTGTTACAAGATTCTTCTATTTCTAAGAATTTAATTTGATCTAAACTTTTAGTTACTCATCAGAATATTGTTGAAAGTTCTAAAGAAAAGTCTGTGAATGAAACTTCAAACAGTTCAAATTGTTTTTTGAACGAATCTGTATTGAGTTCGAGGGATTATCCCAGTGCTGCAAAACATTTACGAACTGGTAATTTGAGTGGGTCTTCTGATGAAGGTTTAGGAAATGTTGAGTATATTGATCATGGATCTTGTACAGAAGCAAGTATTAAAAAAGTAGGGGAATTTACAGAAAGTAGTAAAAATAAGAAGACCATTTCACGTAATAAAGATAAACAATGTGTAAATTGATCTTTACATAGTAATTCAGATTTACGTAAATGTAATTCAGTTAATGATGAAGAGGCAGAGATATAAATTTACTTTTTTTTTTGTATTGAATGGAATATATTGATTGATATTAAATTAAATATATATGCTAAATTAAAAGTATAGATGTTTTATTATGACATTTTTGTTGAATTCGTATATTATATTAAAAGCATGTTTTATATATGTATTGCTTTTGCTTTAGATTGTAGTTTTATAAATTTAATGGTTAGTATATAAAATTTTATAAGATTAATAATTTTTTATCGATTTATTAAATTGAATATTAGGATTTTAATTTTAATCAAATAATATTTCTTTATATACAACGTTCTGTGTATAAACTTCTGATTTATTATAAATGTTACTATTTTTTACTAGTACTTTAATATTTGGTAGGATCATGCTTGGGAAAAGGCTACATAGAGTTGACCATGTGCAAATACATGTTCAGATAGATAAAGCTCTATATTCGGAATAGTTTGTCTCTGTGATTTATTAATTGTTAGAGATGACTGGTTTGATAGGAAATTGTTTTTTTTAAGTGTAAAAGGTAGTTTTGTATTGTTTGATGGGATAAATATTATTCTGGGAAGAAACACTCATTTTCTTTGATAATTGTCTGTGATTATTTAGGCTTCAATTATATTTTTACTGAATGTTCGATATAACAGTCTGGTGCATTGCATAGACCATTAATCGAATCTAAATTTCGAAGACATATAATCAGTGTATTAATTTTAAGATGTAATTTATGAGGAGGGATATTGTTTATATTTATTGAATTAAGAAATTCTTGTTAATAGGTATTTTGATTATCATTATGGACAGAATCAAAACTACAGTAAGTAACACTGTTTCCTGGTAGTTGGTTGACTATTATGTTGTTAATGTGATCTATATGTTCATTTTTTGTAGTAAGTATTACTCTATTTGTAAAGTAAGAAATTTCTGGTATATGAGTTTTAAGAAATGGAAATGTTAATTTTATAAGTGTTTGTAAAGATTCTTCATTACACCATTTAATTATCATATTATCTGGAATGCAGATTATATGATCTTTAACAGTTTGTTTGGTTCCATTTCTAATTCTTAATAGAAAGTCTTTAAATTCATTAGCATCAGAACTGTTTTCTGCTCGCATATTTTGTTGGAGATGAAAAATCTGAATTTTAGCCCATAGAGGAGAAGATTTAAAGGTAGCATTTACTATTTGTGCATGACTTCCACATGCAACTACTGGTAAAATCTGGCAGAAGTCACTACCAAATACAAATATTTTTCCACCAAATAAATAGTTACATTCTAATAGATCTTTTAATGTTCAGTCTAAAGCTTCTATTGAATAATGATTCATCATAGAAATTTCGTCCCAAATTATTAATTTAGTTACTTTTAATAATTTAGCCAGATGGCTTTGTTTACTAATAGAACAGATTGAGTTTTGATTAATATCTAGAGGGATTTTAAATATAGAATATTAGGTTCGTCCTCCCGGCATAAGTAAAGCTGCTATTTCAAATGATGCAGTTGCAAGTGCAATTGAAAAGGTTGAGCGAATCTTAGCAAGTAAACAATGGTAGAGAAAAGTTTTTCCTGAACCTGTAAAATATAATTTAAATGCAGTTTTGGTTAAAATAAGGTTAATTTATTTAATTTATAAAATCTTATATAAATACAAAGTTAGTTAAAGGATAAGTAGCAGTTGAGAAATATTAATTATGGGTTAAAAGTACATTGTAAATTTAATATTATAAATTATTATAACATGCAAATTTTTTATAAAAATTTTTTTCAATATTTATGAATTTTAATTATGATTTATTATTTAAATTATTTATTTAAATATTTTAATTCTGTATTTATTAAAGTTATTTGAAATGAAGAAGAAACATTCCTGCAGGTCCGTTAACGAAAATAGTAGCAGGTTGATTTTTTTCAATATGTTCTATGACAGTATTAAATATCATTTTTGGTTTTCATTTAATAGTTCTATATTCGATAGGTCTTTCGCAGTTATTGATATATTTAATTCATTTAATAATAATTTTGATGATTTATTTAAGTTATTATTAGGTGAAATAAGTAGAGGTAGGTCATATTCACTCAGAGATTTATTATGATATTCTAAGTAATGTTTTATTTGAAGAAGAACCACATTGATTCAGAGGTAATTATCAGGTATTCCTTTTTTTGCAAAATCTTCAGACATAGCTGCAAAGTTATTATTCTACAGAGACTGAGTATTACTTGGTTCTCCAAATAGTAATATAGTAGCAAATAATTGCTGTAGTTCTGAAGGCATTTGGAACTGAGCAACTTCTTGCATAGTTTCATGATACATTGTTTTTATTTCTATGAGATTTCATTTCATTGCACTTTCTTTAAATGTTAAGCACAGATAATTATTAATTAATTTCAAATCAGTAAATGATGTAGCTCCTTTGACATTATTCAAAAGTAGACGTAAGTAGTATCATTCCCCTTCCTTTGGGTAACAGTATACATTCTTCTGATTACTTTGCCTTGGTGTCATTTTGTCCATTTTTTAGTTAACTTGTTTCAAACATAGTATTGTGGGAATTCATGATATGAATAATTGCAAGCTTGTGGATCAATTTCGTTCATTTTAAAATATTCAGTTAACATGATTTTTTTATTTTCTTTATTATTAAGTATATCATTTAGTTTAGAAGTTTCAGAATATGTAATATTATGTTCATTAGGAAGATGAATTTGTAAGCATAATAATGCAGGATTAATATTTGAAAGATTGAATCCAAAGATTCTCCAGCATGCTTCAGAGGAGGAAATCCATCAGGAATCCAAGTATTGGTTGATTTCATCATGGTCAGTAACTTGTATGGCTGCACGATCATGACCTTTATATACATATTTATATAGGTACTTGATTGATTTAATACTTGAACACACTTCAATATTAATATGACAATTGTATTTAAAAGAAAGGTAAGGATTGTATGGGATAACCCAGCGGTTATCTAATTCTGCACCTTTTACTAATATATGCCTTCTATTTTCACGTCACCAGTATAATGGATATGAATCATTACTTTCTTTCATTTCTTCAATAAATTCTTTAGGATAATATTTCATACACCTATTTTCTTTTATACATGTTGCATTATTTTTAAAGGGACCGCATAGTCCATGGATCATGAAGGAAGAACAATTCAATGTAATCTAGGTTGTTCTATAGAATCAGATATTTTTGCAGTTACGATTGCATCATAATCATCGGCTCTATAAAGTTTGTTATTATTATGAAATATTAACAACAAATGTGCATAGGAAAGACCACGTTTTTGAAATTCAACCACATATATGTGAGTGATCACTTTGCCAAGAACATTTTTATTAAAAAGGTTATTTTTTAATTCTTCTAATTTTGCTCGAAAAACCTATGCTATTAATGTTAGATTAAATTATGGATCTCTTGTAGTATAGATGATCCTATTTATAATCAGTTAATAATTTATTTATTAGAAGGATTATTTATACTGTAAGAGACTCCATATTATTATTATTATTATTATTACTATAAATTTATAATAATAATTAAATAAAATATTTTCTGTGAGATCTGGCCTATCTTGTGAATTATGTTCTGGCAAAAGTTCTGATGTAATTTCAGACCATTGTGGGTTACACATAATAGTTATGAATAAGTCAGATTTGCCATATGTTTGGACTAATGTCATCGCATCCTGATATCTTTGATACATGTCACGAGGACCACCAATAAAAGTTGAAGGTAAAATAACATGTTGTCCTACATCAGATCCGTTAACTTTTTCTAATTGAAAAGAATCATATAAACCTTGATAAAGTTCTTTACGAATTTTATCTTGATTGTAACATAGGTAACTAAGGTGCGCTGATTTGATTTTAACATAATTATCAACAATGTATTGTTGAAAAAGTCTACCACCATAAAATAACAATAAGGATGGTTTTCGAAAATGCAATTTGTATAAATAATATTGTCTAAGGGTAACTTTTTTTTGTGATGTATTTTGTAATATTGCTGGATGCCAACCATAGTCACCTTTGGGAAAAAGAAGGAGGTACTGCATTGGGTCATATGAACCATTTAGCTCAGATATTTTCTGTAAACCTTGTGTTCGAGAATGTACAATTATATCACATTTAGCATAATTTGTAGGATTATTGCCTTCAATCCATATGGCAGCAACTTGTGATGCTGTTGGCATATTATAAATACACTGGTCTAGGCCATGATCAGCTTTTATATAAAGACAAAGATTGTCTATATAATTTAAGGAAGAAATTATACAAAAATTGGTTACAAATGGATTTAAATGATCTAGTATAGCTCTGATAAATTCTAGAATATCTTGACGAAGTTGGGGCATTATGTTAAGTCTATTAGCCATTTCAAATTTAGTATCATAAATGTACAATTGGAGAAACTTTGGTTCCTCATTAACTAGAATAAGTGATCCTATAAAATGGTAGATTCCATCTTGTACTTGAAATGTATAGACACCGTTTCTGCCTATTTAAAAGTTAATATATATATATATATAAATACATTTCTTACATTTTTATGTATTCAGAATTTATATATAATTAAGTATAATTTTTTGATTAATTTTCTTATTTCTTACCATTTGCAAGATTTTCATCTAACTTGACGCCCATTGAAGTAAAAGAGAAAATACTGTTGTAAGCTCTAATATTATTACGAAAATCTTTTCCTATATCGTTGTGCCTGACAAATAAATCTTTTAAAGCTGAAGTATCATCTGCCGAAGCTAGTCTGTTATTGATAGGTTAATTATCATATTATGTTATATGCATTATTATGTAATGACTAATTTTTGCTTTATATATTTATTTATTATTTATTTGAAAATTTATTTACTTTATCTTTCCTGACCCACAACACATTCCTTGCATTTTAGTAGGAAAAAGTATTGCACAACAATAAGAACATGTATAAGTAGTATCAAAAACGTGATTAATAGATTCAACTGTTTCATGAAAATTATGTCCAATTTTATAATTTTGAGACTCCTTTCTTTTAAACTATGTAATTTTCGATATCTCTGAATTCGTAAAGTTTCTGCAATTCGACGTTCTTTAGTAGTTCATGAACAAAGAATACGAAGATATGACATTTGTAAATTTGTAAAATGATAAATAATATAATATTAATAAACTTAAATAGAAAAATTGCAATCGTAAGATCGTAAATCATAAAAATGTACTGTAAAAATTGAAAATTTCTTTTGTAAATTTATAATTGATGATTACTATTATATACATATTTTTAGCAAGTTTACTATCGATGCTTTCAGCAATTCTATAAAATAATTCTAACTTTATGTATATTACCACTATCCTTCCGAAAGTTTTGTCATTATTTACATCATAGGCATTAAACTATATTAATTGGTTTCCAGGTTTTCACTTTCATGCATTCATACTAATACGATAAATACAATTACTCAATTTATTTATATTGTTAATAGTCGATGCTTAAAAATTCGATTTGTTGTTCAAAATCATAAAATTTTAAGTAATTTTTGAAATTATATTATATGTATTGACAAATAATTTAAACTTTGTAAGTAAATGATTTTGGTAGTTTGGCTCTTTTTTTTCATTGAATTTTTATTTGTTTAATAATAATAAAACATTTATTTCTTTGTTACAAATACATTTATGCATTTATTTAGAGCTATTCTGGATATGCAGTTTTGACTACTTATTACTGTATAATAAATATCAACCTGTTACGTTTTAAATTAAATTCATGGTTCTTAATTATCAAATAATTTCATCATATTAACTTAATTACTGCATATTCCATCATTATACATACATTAATACACTAATACTATTTTGGGAAGACTTTCGTATGATTGGCAGTTTAAATCAATTTAATCTTACATTATTTATACAGTTTAAAGTATTTTTAATAAAAAAATAAAATTACGAAGAATAAACAAAAAAGAAGTATATAGAAAGTTTTATTAGAGTTATAGGTAGAGATGGGACACTGCGCAGGCGGAATTTTCTGGAAGCCCGGAATTTTTCGTAATATCGCAGAATTTAACAATTTTGGCCCGCATTAGCCGTAATGCAGGCCCGTGCAGCCTGCACAGTAGATTCGAAAAATCCTCGATTTTCCCATCTCTAGTTATAGGGCTTCTTCTTGTTTTGGTGAAATTTGCATGGTAATTGGCCTATTTTTCTGAAGTCGCTATTATAATAATTTTCCTAAAACCAGAAATGATTTTGGTTATTTTTTATAGTTGACTCTTACAACCTTAATAAACCTTTTTATATGCTTCTTTTTTGTTTATTTTCGTAGTTTCATTTTTTTTAAAAAAGTACTTTAAACCGTATAGATAATGTAAAATTAAATTGATTTAAACATTCTTTGATTACGATATTATTTCATCATACTGTCGTGCTTGAAGTTGACATCTGCTTGAAGTACCCAAATTAGGCACACTAACTAAAATTAGCCCCTGAAATTAGATTTTCCTTGCAGGCGTTAGCGTTAGTTAGTAATTTTAGTTAGTGTGCCTAATTCGGGCACTTCAAGCAGATGTCAACTTCAAGCACGACAATACTACCTTGGACTACGATATTTTGGAATACGATATTATTTCATCATACTACTTTGGACTATGATACGTAATAATACACAATACAATCTAATACGTATATATTTCATCTTACATATACATCCTGTCATTTATTGATACTTTCAGGTTCATGTGAATAAATTACACTTTCAGACACGTGGATTCACATACATCCAATCAAAACCGTTAAAGCGTACAAACTCAGAATTGAATGGTTTAGATATCTATTTACTATTAATATCCGGATAATCTAACAGATAACCGGATAATTATCCGGATATCAATAGTAACCAGATATTCAAATATATTCGGATATTGGATAACCGATGGATAAATGGATAAACGGATAATGGATTGGAACTCTATATTTTAGAATAATGCGTTTATTGGGTTTATGTTTTTAACAATCGCTTTTCACTTTGAAGTATCGAAGAAAAAAAATTACTACAATTATATTAATATTTAATGATTGATGATTTACAATATCACATGATTTTCGAAACTTTTTTGGGTGGCAATTTTTATCTTGGTCTATATTATCGTTATACCGAAATTGATTACTTAACCGGATCGGCCGAAAAATCATTCGGCTAATTTTTGCCAGGTGTCCCAGAATTTATGATAACAGCTGTAATGCTGTACTAATGCCGGCCAGATAATCTTGTTTTTGGTTCATATCAAATATCCTACGCGGGCTATACATCACATGTCTAAAAGTGCACAACCGATATATTTACTATCTGCAATACCGATACTCACGTCTCCCGTTCCTGGCTTCGCGCGACTGTGTTGCGCAGCTATCTTATGTGTTAATGCCGGCGTTTCTGACGTATCTGGAAACTTTACCGAAGTGTCACATGTACTTAGAGATGGGCATTATGCAGCAGGTGCTTAATTGTTACATGATTATAATTATGAAATCACAACGGATTCTAAGCCCCATGCTGCATAGTGCCCATCTCTACCTATACTACAGTACTATATTTGTTTGATTTAATATATCCGTACAGTCTGAAATACGACGGAAAATATATTAATATGAGAATTGTTTTTTAACAGTGTTAAACTTAATAGCAATAGAAATAATTATTGGTAAATATCAGAAACAAAAAACATTTACATAACTGTAGACTTGCTATAAAGGTCATAAGACCATTACCTAATAAAAATTTTATTTACTTATGTTTATAAAACAATGCATAAATTATGATCCACCTTACAGTTTATACGCCCTTTAGAACATTATGTAGTGTTAGTATTGTTGTACGAATTTGTTCAACATGTTTCACAGCACAATTTAATTGTTACAAAAATGGATAAAGGTTAAAAACATACGTACATACAAAAAAAACAAATTTAGAATAAAAACCAACGTTATTGCTATTAGCTTTATTCATTGATAAAAATAAACTTTATCAATCAGAAAGAAATTTCGGGGAACCATTTGAATAACATTAACAAAATATCTATTTATAGATTTATTACTCATCTTGACCATGAACATGCTGCTTAATAAAGTAATTTGAATATTTTTGAAAAGATGAACTGTTTAAGAAATACTATTCTATTCAACAATTTTATATATTTAGAAGTTTTTCCTAACCCGATTTTCGACTTTATTCGGAACGCTTAATGGAGTTTATCCCAACAGTAGCATGCACTTGGTTTGTTTGATTTATTATTATTATCTACTATTATTATAGAGTTCTATTCAGCTAAAATATAATATAGGTATAATTACTACCTTACTACCTTTTTTAAGAATTTGAAATTATATCATTTTAGAATCTATATCGCAAATGGGGTTGCCATATCTTTGAGTTTTTAATTTAATCGATTGAAGTTCCATTTGACTGAAATTAAGCATAGTAAAATGTTATAAGTGAGAATGGAATTTAAGTTAATTCGGAAATTTTAAGGTTAGGTTTAAAATTTTTAGCAAATTATTCTATTCCAATTTACGCAGATTCCGAATTTATTATATTCCATTCCCATTTACAACAGTAATTTCAGTCAACTTCAATTTCTGTTGATTGAGTAGTAACTCAGACAAGTTGTAACTCAGTACGCCTGTAAATCTAAATAGTGTAATTAATCCTGGTCAATTTTGCATTTGGCCAAGCTTACAAAATGATCAGAAAATTTGGCCAGAACTGAGTACGTAGTACATTGTGTAGCTGTGCAACATATGTCACGCTGAAATCAGAAGCGGTGCAATTCTATTATGAATCTTAAAAAAAGTGGAAGATAATCTTAAACGATTCTTTTCCAGGGCTGTAACCTGAATCTTAGGCAAAGAATTAGGGTTGAAAGTTGTGAATGATAGTAGTTCTCATAATGTAATCAATGGAATAGCATGAATATTGTTAAAAAAAAAGGTCGAACAATCGGGAAATTTAAAAAGTCGGCATCGAGACATGTTGAGAGAGTAGGCACATGCAGTTTAGCTCTTGACATAAATTGTTTAATGTAGATGAAATCCTTTTCAGGAGATCAGGAGATTGTATAACACAAACTACAACCAGTACGTCTTTTAAAATACGATCAATATGTACATAGTCCAAAATGAAAAAGCATGAATCAGCAGGAATTTATGAATGCAATTAATGATAACAAAATTTTATAAGGTACTATAATTTTGCAATTTATTCCTTAAAACCGATTATCATAAAAAAAAAAAAAATTGTTTGTCTCTCATTTCCTAAGTAGTTAATGCGATGAAGAACACTAAACGGGTATATCTCTTCCGTCATCGAGCAACCTACGCAGCCTTCACGAGTATCGGCTGGTTAATATAGTCTTTTACAAAGCATTCTCGTTATCAATAATCTAATTGCTTCTAGCAGTCGTCCCGACTGGCTATCTTACCATCGCAACTGTCGTCCGAACAGGTCGCAATTCTAAATACTTACAAAACTAGATAACCTACCCACCCTTGCCCCTTTTCTTCACAAATGACTGCCGTCTCAGCAGGTCGCTTCACTCAAACAGTGCTTAATTGCGGGAAGGGCGGGAGGGATCGATGTAACCAGAACGAAAGTCGGGTTCGCAGAAAAGACAAAGTTATCCAGCATTATTTCTCAAGCTTTACTAATATACTACTATCCAATTACCTCATAATTACTCAATTACCTCATACTACCTCAATTACCTCATCGTTACTAATAGACTATCCTATTAATTATACTACAATCAATGACCTCATAACTCATTACTCGCATTACCTCATACTTTCGTTCGATTAACCGATAGTCGATCGAACATGTGACCGTAAGAGGGCCTATCACATGTTCGACCTGATAGCACATGATTCGAGACAAAAGCTGCTTCGATACTTACGTATCGAGCAGCTAATAAACCACAAATCGTGACTATGCAGTAATACAATGGTCGTCATGAATAATGAAAATCAGTACGTATTATACATGATCCAAGAACTACTCATCTGGTTTAATACTACGTACTAACCATGTGATTTATTTAATTGCCAAAATAGACAAGCATATCATTGTCATGCAATGCCGGTTCGAGTCAAATTCGAAAGACAGACAAATAATCGACTATATTAACTGATAGTAACATCAGAACAGTTTGATAATCTTTGATAAAATTAGGCTTAAATTAATGCCAAGGTTTATAGCATCAGTTTAAAGCCAAGACAATCGAATCTCACTGTTTACGATAGTCAATCATTCATCGTATAAATTTGGTTCGAAAAGTTTTACGTGCTCGAGATATTCAATTGACATAGATGATGGTAAGCCAGGCTTACAGTGTTTAGCTCTCCAACAATGATGTCAACTTTACCCATTTCAAGTTTTCCAATATAATGTAATACCACTTGTGAAATCTCTTATGGTGAATTACTATTAATGTAAGAGATGTTACTAATCTGATGGAATCAATTAAGAAAAGGATTTGTACTTAATTTATATAAAACCTGACTCAGAAAATGATTTTTAGTCATTTAAACTTTGGAATTTGGTATTTAAATCCAAAATCATCAAAAATGAAACAATCAGGCTCGTAAGATCGACATTATATATTAGAATATGTTTGAAAACTAACACTGTTAATATATCAAGAATGACTAATTCATTTTCGATAATTTGAATTTTGATAAATGTTAAGGTGCGCAACATACGTTTAAGCAAAAATTCTCAAATATCGGTATTTTATGATTAACTGATCTTTTTTGTTTTTCAGGTTCATGATTCTGTGGATAATTGACAATCAGAAAATGTTAATATATGAAGAATAGATCTGTTTTTCGATACTTTTAGACTTAAATGAATGCTATGAATTTATAGAACCTGTTTAAGGCCTAAATAATTGATATTTTCAATTTACAGAAAGATATGCTCGATTTTCATTAAATATGGCGACTACCGTAGTAATATCATACAATATTATGTGATAACCTAGCAATATGTGATGCTGACAAACTGAATATGAGATTTTGCGGACGTGCGCCATTTTTCTATCTATATGCCATATACTTTGTAATTTATAATTTTGTTCCTGGTATAGATATCTTAATTTATTCAACTCAATTTTTTCGACTGTAAAATGCACGTGATTGTTGAGTTATATTCCAAAACCATAATTCATTAAGTAAATTGCCTATAGTGACAATATTGCAGCTATAATATATTTATGTGATAGAAACTTTATTACCGTAACCTATATTTTATTTTGGCACCATTTTTTTTTATTCAAATATTAATAAGAAAATTTTCTCTATAGTCTAATAGAATTGTTAATAGGATTAATAGAAGATCAATCATTAATTCTACCATTACAAAAAGAAAAAATGTTTTGTTACTTGGTAGTGGTTTTGTCTCTAAACCTTTAGTAGATTACTTGGTAAGGCAAAAGGATTTAAAATTAATTATTGGTAAGTTATCTATATATATTTTAATAAGAATTTTAGCTTATATTTCTTATATTTAGCTATTTAGATTCATTAATATACACGATAAGTTTATTAAACGTTCTATTTATAATAATTCTTTTTAGCAAGTAATTCAAGGGCTGATGCTATTTCTTTAATTAGAAATCATAAAGAAATAGATATCGTTGATTTAGATGTTATGAATCAAGAAAATTTAAATAAAATCATTCAAGGATCAGATGTTGTTGTTAGGTAACTTAAGATTTATTTTAATATTACAATATTTCTAAAATTTAAAATATTAATACTTATGTAATTACAATTTTAGTCTTATTCCAGCAAATTTACACCCTATAGTGGCAGAGGCTTGCATAAAGCACAAGAAAAACATGGTAACAGCTAGTTATATATCTTCAGCAATGAGAGAATTAGATAATAGGTAGAATATATTGAAAAAATTTTTTTTGTCGTATTAATTATTTATAAATCAAAATTAATGTTAACAAATATATCTATATAAGAGCCAAGCAAGCTGGAATTACTATCCTTAATGAAATAGGAGTTGATCCAGGAATTGATCATTTATCTGCAATGAAAATTATTGATGATATAAAAGCAAAAGGTGGAGAGGTATAATATAATTTTTTTTTATATATAAAATTATTTAATTACAATAAATTAAACAAAAATATTTAATAATATGATATTTGACTTATTAAGGTAACATCATTCATTTCATGGTGTGGTGGCTTACCTGCTCCAGAAGCATCTAAAGTTCCCTTGAAATATAAATTTAGTTGGTCACCAAGAGGTGTTCTTATTGCTGCATTAAATGATGCTCATTTTTGGATGAACGGCAAAGTATATTAGTAATAACTTGAATCTAGAATTTTAGTATTTTTATAAACATTTATTATTTATACAATTTTGATATCTTTTATAGAAGCATAAAATTTTAGGTGGTGAACTATTAAAATCTCATTTTCCAACAGTACCCATTGATTCAAAGTATGAATTTGAAGGCCTTGCAAACAGGGATTCCTTGTCATATATAGATACATATGGTTTAGCTCCTTTGGAAACAAAAAATGCGATGCTTAGAGGTACTTTAAGATATAAAGTATGTTGAAATACGTTATTTTTATTTTATTATTTTTTAAATTTTATATATTATTGAAAGAAAATCTTATTTAAATTCTAGGGCTTTTCAGACTTGATGTATTCTTTTTTAAAATTAGGATTGCTTAAAACTGATCCAGAAAACGTTCAACATAATTCATGGGTTAGTATAATTAAATGCAATAATGTCTATTTATTATTACCATTATTACTATTATAACCATTTTTACTATTATTACTATTATAACCATTATTACTATTATTGCTATTATTAAATTATATAGCCAGATTTTCTCGATTACGTACTTTTTGGCCCATCCCCTACAACAAAACCAGTAATGGAATCAAGAATACACAAGATTAAAGAAAAATTAGATTTGTCAGAAAAAAATCAATTAATGGTAGACAACGTTGTTGAAGCTTTAAAAAAGTAAGTCATGGTTGTTTATTTACTTTAAAAAAATATAAGATTGTATCTAATATCATGATTTTTTTTATATATATCAAGTCTTTCATTACTAGAAGACCCAAATCAAACAACTACTAATTTAATAAATCCACCAAAAATTGGTTCGTTATCACCACTTGATACATTTTGTATCTTACTTCAGGATAAACTTAAATATTATCCTGGTGAGAAAGATTTATTAGTTTTATATCATGAATTTGAAATAAAACTAAAAAATGGGGATAAGGTAAATTGTTACATTTATATTTATAATTTACGTTCATAATGTATTAGTTATTATATATAAGTTAACTATATTCATATATAATTTTAAGGTAACCAAAACATCAAAGTTAATTACTGATGGAATATTTGGATCGACTGAAACATATACTGCAATGGCAAAAACTGTTGGATTACCAGCTGCAATAGCAACTGAAATGATTGCTAGAGGTAATTGAAATAACGTTTATATTATATTATAATGATCGTATAATGATCGATAATTTTTAACATTTTTAAATTGATCTAGGCGAAATTCATGATAAAGGTGTATTGGCACCGACTTTACCAAATATTTATAACCCAATACTTGAAAAATTAGATTATGAAGGTATAAAAATCGAAGAATCTATTATTGAAAAAGGAATGAGAGAAAATTTGAAGTGGAGCGGAAGTGGAATTTGGAATTAGATTATGTTGCTAAATATTTTATTAAAGTTATGCCAATCATATACTCAATCAAAAAAAAAATTGGTTTTAATATGGAAACTTAATATGACAAAATATTTTAAATTTCTGTCAAGTTTCTTTATAAGATATATATGTATGCGAAAAATTAGATAGTTTATATATTTATTATTACTATGATTTATAATTGTAAGACGCAATTATTGATACTTATTCAAGCATTTTAGTTTCGCGTGATTAATAATAAAAAAAATCAATATCGACATTTGGATATAAAAAAGGCACATATTTTCTAGAATTAACATAAACTCACTAAAAAATGTCAAAATAATGATTGTTAAATCTTTCAGCATAATACTGTCAACTACAAATTGCAAATAGCTGAATTTTTAATATAAAAATAATTTATAATGGTTATAACGGATTAATAATGAATAAGCCATATACACTCTACCCTCGTTATAACGGAGTGAGCGGGCCGTGAAATTCCATCCGTTATAATGAATATCCGTAAATAGTCACTCCATTATAATGGAGGATCCGTTATTAACAAGGGTAGTGTGTAACGAAGATTTTTTCAGTCCAGATTTCCGTTATATAAATAGAAGCTTTCGATTGATAAATGAATTAATGTGTTATAAATTTATTAAAATTTTTATTTGATTAATTGAAAAATCTAAAAACTAAAATTGTTCAAAAATTAAAACGAATATTAATTTTGAATAATACATTTTGATGCCTCATGATAATTATCTAGTCATATCAATAATCATCAATCATCTAATACTAAAATCATACATTCAAATCCTAATGTCTTTTCACATAAACTATTGCTATACAATTCTATAACGTCCATCTTTTATTCAGGATCTTCACAGGAATTCCACCTTTACGTTAGTTCTTTAAAAATTTACCAACTTCAATATGATTACAACAATATTCCTAATATTCTTTCTTAATAACTTGAAAAACTTCAAATTCTTCAATAATAAATTGTTCGGCGCTCTCCCTTAAAGCTTTTTCGTAGCTAGTTTGTTTACATCCGCATGGTTGCCCGATTTCAAAATGACCTTTAGGGAATAAATCTCCTTTTCCAAATACGGGTGAACAATAAACATTACAATAAATTGAATCTTTAGGATCTATTACTCTACTCAATATATCATCTGTATCATCAGTTCCCAAGCTAAAAACGAAACTATCTTTTAAAGGTGCAGTATTTTGAGGTTCTTTATTTGATGAAATAGATTTCTTACTCCAACTCAATGGATTATACCCTCCTAAAATCTCTGTTGAATTTGAAGGTTTGATAATAACTACGGCTTGATTTGAAGTTAAAGTGTGTTGAAGAAACTTTTGATCTCGACTCCCTCGAACTACAAGTTTGAATTGATATGGAATATGCCATGACTTGTATATTGATTCACCATTTTCTAACGGTGTAATATCTAATTTATCAATCCAACTCGCAATTCTTGCTGCTTGATCTGGGTTTATTAAAACAGATTGAATCCGTGACGCTACAGTAGAATAAATTGGTGATGTATAAAATGCTGATGAACCAGTAATATCAGGATCATGTAATTCAGATGGTAAGAGATCTTTAAATATTGAAACTTGTTTTTCAAATTCAGAAGCTGGAATATGACGCCACCTAATATATGGAATACAAGGACGTAATATTTTTTCTAATGAAGTAAATTCTTCATCAGTCCATTTTGTTACCTCTGGATCTAAAGAAGTTTGAAGTTGACCAATTCCCCATTCAACAAGACGTAACCAAAGATCTAATTCTGACATTCCTAAATCATCACGTTGTAAAAGCCAATTAACAGTTTCAACTTCTAAAGAAGTAAAATCATCAGATTTGAGTAATAATTCAGGTTCTTGATAAAGTGCTTCTTGCATTATTTCGGATAATAAAGTGCAAGTTGGATACTTTTGTCCAGCATTATAAATTAATACTGATTGTTTATCCATCCATAAATGTTTACGTTCCACTAATACTCCTTGTAAAACTTCAACGAGTACATTAAGACATAGTTCATCTGCTGCACCCAATACATTTACAATCTCAACTTCACTAAGTGTATCAACCTTAATTGTTGATGAATATATATATCTGTTATGTGATTAAAAAAGAAGATTACATATATTTTTAGTATATATCTTCGTATATATTTTTTTCGTCTTGATACATGCACTATGTATACACTCTCAAAATGCACAAAAGCACACTAATCTTGAATTTCAAGCATATTGAGAACTTTATAAAATGCCCTTCATAAATACACACTTCCCTCAAATGCACATTTTTAAAAATTTTGCTCATAGTCCCAAGAAGATGTATTTACAGAAGGTTGACCGTATATAGAAAAACGCTTTCATTAAAATTATTCAAAAAAAAACTTATTTCACTCACTTTAAAATAATACTAAAAGTTTCTGGAGAAATGTTTGGTTTTCTAAAAATATATACACCATTCTCTTGTTTAGCCCACCTACTGGATAAAGCTTGACGAAAGTATGGTGATCTCATTCTTAAAATATAATAATGAGCTTTAAATTTTTTAATATCAGGTTCTTCACCGGCTTCAATTACTACGTTATGTTCATCATCTTCTTCAAGTAAAGTTATTAAATCTTTTGTTAACTCATCAAAAAGTCTTGTACTAAATGATTGATTAATAATTGGTACGGTTGTCATTTTGTGAAAAAATTTATCTTTAAAGACAACGTAAGTGAAATTTTATAAACAAAAAAAAGAATTTTTATAACAACCGTTTTTTTAATGCTGGCCAAATGAAAATCTGTGTTCCACAAATACGTCAGTCGGGGTTTTTTACCAAATTTGTACATACGTACATAATCGATTCGAGATCATGCTTTAAAATTAGTTACGTTCAGCTTTGCAAAAAGGTGTGACCTCTGCAGATCATTGTCTAACGGGAAAGAGAATTATACAGATTTCCAAATACATATAGATATCATAGAAAATAATAATTTTCAAAATTCTCCACTATCGTTATCACGAAAATCGTGGGGTCATACCTTTTTGCAAATCGCTATAAAACAATTCATGATTAGTCGTTGGAGAATCTCATTGATATTGATATTTAATTTTAAAATTAATTACCTGCAAAATAAAATTAATAGCACTAAATTTAGAGCTTCTTTCCAAAATATTTATTTAAATATACAATGAGTCCGAGTCATTAATCAATTCTAATTCAACTTACAATAAAAAATTAAGTGTTTTCCAAATTATTTCATCTAGTACGTTGTTATGGAATTTAAAGATAGGGTTTATTTATTAATTAAAATTTAAAAGCAAGTTTTTACATCTATGATTAGTGGAATGGCAATGGACATATTCATTTACAATAATTTTATCACACGTGTTTTTGAAATTACATTTAATTCGTCATCCGTTTTCCAGATATCTTCTCATAATTCTGAGACAATTGGATTTCGGCATTACAGTAATTCGATAACACCGAATTCAGAAACTTGTCGAATTCGGCCGATCAATTATTATCAGTTGTCCTAGAATTTATTAGAACAGTTATAATAGTAAAACGGATATCCGATAGATAAATAGATAAACGTAAAATGGATAGGATCATTAACTACTCGTGAAGAAGGACCAAACGGAAGCAATTCATTAGCATTATATGTAATTCTAATAATGCCGGATTTCATTCAAGTTTATATGTGCCATCTTACAGACTTCGAGGATCTTACAGGGGAGTGTCTTCACGTGTTATAAAGGTTTTTACAATAATTATTAACCAATTTGTTGATAAGATTTTGGAAAGCAATTCTTCGAATAGATTATAAGTAAAGATGCAGACATTGGTACATAAAATAAGATAGTTATCCATATTTATATGCAAATGTCTACATCTTTAATTATGAGGTAAACGTGGATAACTTTAAGATTTGGTCATCAGATTGAGTGTTGCAGAAAACGAAAAGTGAATTAAGAAAAAACAAGTAACTGTTGTAAGTGGAAATGTAATTAAAGTAGATTCGAAACTTTTATATAAAACCAGCATTTTGGGGTTGATTTTATCATATGTACACCTAATCCTAACCCTCATTTAACTTAAATTCAATTCCATTACAGTGAGTTTTTAAATTTCATATCGCCTTTTGCTATATTTAGGTGGATTATAAATCTACAATAATTCCGTTCAGGCGTACGAAATATATAATGGATGAAATATGTAAAATAGATAATTTGTGTCGTGTAATATTATCAAAAATGTTCCACTCGAAATTTTGCCTTAGTCTAATCCTAACCTTAACTTCAATTCTAACTATAATTATTAATATAACCGGAGTCAAATAAACTATTCTATTTAAGACTTTTTATTAGATTTCCATATTATCATTCTCTTCAACTACATCGGGTTCTTGGCCTTTAATCGTTTTATACCCTGAATATCCGTAAAAAATAAATATTTATAAAATTTCTAGTTTAATTTCGTACAAATTTTCAAAGAATAAAAAATATATTTTTTTTACCTGATTCTTCTAATAATTTAATCGCCCCTTTATGTTTATTAGAGGCAGCAAAATACAAATATGATAACCCGAGATCTATATTCTTTTGTGCCCCCAATTTCCCATTCAGGTAAAAATCGCCTAGACAAAACATTGCATCAATATTTTTATTATCAGCAGCTAATCTAAAGTAATGCAGAATTTTAGTGCTGTTGTTTCGTTCAGTTTCATCTTTTTTAAGTTTGGAAAGTAATAATTTTGCATATCGGTATTGCGCATCAACTTTATGTCCATTAGGATGTGCGTAATCAGCTGCTTCTTTAAAAAGTTCCATTGCTCTCGTTTCATCCTTTTCGACAACATCAAATCCGTTAGTTAAATAATATCCTTGCCAATATTTGGCTGATATATTTCCAAGATTAGCATTCTCCTCAAAACATTTCCATGCATTTTTATAGTCTTTCTTCTTGTGAAGTTCAATTCCTTCTTCAAGATCCATCACCAAGTCAAATGAAGGTGCATCAGAACCCTCTCCATCAAAATTTAATATTCCATCTTTTAAGAGTTTAGGTTCTTCTGGTAAAATTTGATATTTCGCAGCTAATTTTTCAAGTTTTATATTTAGTTCAGCAATTTTTATTCTTTCTTCTGGTATTTGATGCCATGCTATTATTATTGATTAAAAAAAAAAATTAAAATTAATTACGATTATTACAATCATAGTATAAAAGTTCCAAATTGATTTAACATTACTCTTTTGGATAATTTTAATAAATTTTCTTTGAATTTCATCATCTTTCTTATCAAATTTTCCATGCGAAAGTGTTTCTCGTTTACCACCTGAAACATGTTCAGAAATTTCTTTAAAATCCAAATTTTTGTAAGGTAACTTTTCATAACAAAGCTCCCAAATCAGCATCCCAAAACTAATTGCAAAAATTAATTGTTAGAAATATATAATAAATTGTAATTGAAATTTATTCTTAATATTAAACAATAAATACCTAAACATTTCACAATTAAATGAATAAACCTTTTTATCGGGATTTTTTTCAATATATTTCGTTATTAGTTCAGGAGCCATCCAATGAATAATATTTGTGACTAAAGTTGAAAGATTTATAGTAACACCTTCTTCTGTACGTGAATATTTGAAATTTCCAAGTTTTGCATCCAAGTTGTCACGTACCTGCAACCTAACTGTTAGTTCATTGTTTAATAATAGAATTGCAATCCATTATCTGTTTATCCATTTATCTATCAGATATCCGGATAATTATCCGGATATTAATAGTAAATAGATAAATGGATGACGGATTATCCGGATTGCAACTCTATTTGATAACAGAATATATTATTCTTAATAGTACTTACTAAAACATTTTCGCATCTAAGATCATGATGCAAAATATTTACACTGCGTAAAAAAACAATACCACGGCAGAGATCTCGAACGATTTTTATTTTTCTTGTCCAAGGAATATCATAAGCGTTATAAAGATCCTTTAAAGATCCATATTCAGCTAGCTCAAAAACCATAACTTCTCGAGTTTCAACGTATGAAAGACCATAAAACTTAAGTATGTAGGGTGAATCTAATTCAGCTAGTATAGCTAAATGATTTTGAAAGCCTTCGGATTTTTTATAAATTTTACATTCTACCTCTATTGTACCCTTGTAAAACCTTTTAATAGCATTAGAAACATTTGTTTTATGTGAAGCAGGAATGTCAGATAGTTCCTTTGGGCTAATCCTTTTCACAAGATTATCATTTGGTTGTTTAGCTATTTGGGATTGTACAAGGCCTACTTGTTGAATAGATACATCATCAAAGTTCTTAAAGCTCTAAGATATACATAGGATATACATAGGGAAAAACTTTTCATAAATAAAAATGACATGAATTAGCATTGCATTTTGTAGTTTTCTGGATTTTGACTTACTTCTTCTGTATCCTTCAGATCTTTATCAATTTTTTCAGACTCTTCCTTTCTATCAGCATTGTAAATAGCTAGCCCATATTCCTTCTTTTTATTGGCATTACTAGTTGTTAAAAGTAATTCCATCATACATGCATCATATTCTTCTGCTAATTTATCATATAAAACTTTAATTTCACTCGCATCAGCAAATTGTTTGAGACCTTTTAATTTTGACACTTTTTCAGTATATTCTTTGATATTTGTTAAAAGATTTTCAAACCGTTTAAGTAATAAGCAATCTTCTTTTTTCTGAAATCTTTGTTCATCATTCCGCATAATTGTTTCAATAGCAAATTCTACAGTCTTTACTCTATTCGTCATAAATATACTGATTCGTTTATTGCATTCAGCATTCACATAAATTCCATGAATTATTCCTGCCATATCCTTTATGTTATTCCTTATGTTATTCTTTATAAGGTTAGCTACTTCAGCGCTTATAAAACTGGCTGCAACAGAAGTTACGGCATTCATAGTTAAAATGATAATGCGGATGTGTATTAATGCGTAGATAAATTGTTAGCATATATAGACCGGTAACAGGGTTTAAGATATCACAGTATCTTACTGGCTGTTCAAGTAGTATCGTTTTTTTTTTGATCAATGTTTATTGAAATTTATGAACTTCAACGATTAAAGAAAATGGTAAAGTCGGAAAATTTTGTTATGCCAGGAATGGAGTAATATGTGATGGTCTGAAAATCTCAACTAATTAAATAATGCATTAAATGCAATGAAACGTAAATTCTGCACTTAAACTTTACAAAATCGTACGTGTGTATCACACAGCACTATACATAGGAATTCCATTACTGGCTCTATATCAAAAATACTTAAACAACTATATTTCTAAGAGAATATCTCATCCCAAACAAATCATACAACCTATCACTTATCTATGACCACATATAACATATCTTGCCAGGAATGTAACAAGAATTTTATAACTATAAAGAGAATCGGTAGTGTAGATATTTGATGAGAAAATACTTGTATCTAATAAGATACCATAAGACTGTACACACGACAAATCGAACATGTGATTCATAAAGTCATCTGATTTTGCAATAATGATCGCCTTGTCACTTCTTGACAAGCTTCTCAGTTCCATGAAAAGTAATGGCAGAGTGGTTTTTTTATTATAAAAAATTATGCATATAAACCTCTGCCAATTTTTTTTTATTTAGACCATGTTTTAGATAGGAACATAAATATAAACTTTCGGTATATGGCATGCAATAATATAGGCTTGACCAACTTTTGTTTTAAAAGTGATGTATTGAAAAATCATACAACCTGGTTAATTCACCAATTCTTTCTTTATTATAGCTTTAAAAATTTGTAGTAGAATAACCTGTCTTTTTGTCACTATTGATTTGACCCTTTCTATGGTTGCTTTGAAATAAGCTGAGTATTCTTAATGAATTGAGATCAGAACTAAAATATTACCACTGAAATTATTTATTATTTCGATTAAAGATTTTATTCCGTTCTTTTCTAAAAATTCATCAGTGAATCCTACTACTTCATATTAAATTATGTAATAACTAGTATGTAACCCGTCGTGATGCTCCGAATTAAGGATTTTAAATTATAGAATATAAGTATATATAATAAGTAATAGATATTCCACGGGCTGTTGTGAATATCATGAATTAGCACGGCGAAGCCGTGGTAATGCATGATGTCACGGCACACCGTTGAATATCTGTTATATTTCACGGTCCTATGCCCGTAACATTTCTGATTGAAAATTTTTACTGATGATGTCATGCCGTGGAATAATTTTTGATATTTTCACGCCATTACATCATCATAAAAATATCATCAGAAATGTTCACGGGCGAACATATAGGGCCGTGGAATATAAAATAAATAATTGATAATATAGAGTAGATATAGTGACACTGAGTTATAGTTTGCATTATGCAGTAGATATACGTAAATTTGGTTGTTTGGATAATACAAAAGATTTGTATAGTTAGGTTGAGATATAGAATTAAAATTTTTGTGGGCACTGTAATATGATTTTATTCGTATAAGATGTAATATATATTTAAATAATTTATCGAGTAAATTAGTTGAAATTAATAGTTGTTAGAGGAAATTATAAAAGTAGGTTCGTGATTAAAATTTGAAAAGTTTAAAGTTAACAGGGGTGAAAATTTAAATTAAATAGCGTGGTAAATGAAATTTTGGTGTAAATTTATTAATGTAAATAATATAAATAAAGTAAATAATAATAGTAAATAAAGAAAATATAAACATAGAGAAGCGTACATAAGTAAAGGGAAAATAAAAGGAATAAATTTAAAAGGACTTGTAGTAAAATATAAGGGGCAAATGTATATTAAAGTAATAAATAAGTCGGAATAGAAAGTGTAATTTTATAAAATAAGCACAAAATTTGAATTAGTGGCGAGGTACGAATTTTGTAGTCCGGATAAATCGGTACTTCAGTTGGTGTTGTTTTATTACTATTGTTTGCTGCAATTGAGGTTAGTAGGATAAAAAAATTCGGAATTGATAGGTTTCAAAAAATCAACGAATAAAAATGAGTTTAAGATGATATAAAAGGGTATTTATTGTAAAACTTCGGGATAAACAACTTTCTCTGTAAAGCCTCCTTCAGAATGTTGTCCTGATAGTAATACTTTAAGAGACAGTTTTAATGTTGTTCTTGAGCAAGCAACATTAAGTTGCCCATGGGCAAATACTGGGGTGGGTAAATAAACTCCAACGTGATGTAAAGTCTGACCTTGAGCTTTATTTATTGACATAGCGAATATAAAGGTAATAAGGGTAATACGAGAAATATATAATTAAAGGGACATATATTAATTAAGGGCTTTAAGTAATATAGGACATTAAAGGGGTCTATTTCGGATTATATATTTAATACTTTTAGAAAGGCATATGTAATAAAACATTATATAATAAAGGCTTCGAGCCCTGCGAGAACAATAGTTCGCGCTTGTAATAAAATTTGCTCCTAATAATTCCCTGCTTTCATTACATTGAAATACCTATGATCATAAATACCAACTCGACAAATCTAACTCGCCTCTTATCGACTTAGCCGACTCGTAGGTTACACGACATATCCGATCGTGAAGCGAACTGACTCGCCGTTTCGACCGTGTCACTATGGTTAATCTTATTAACTAAATGAGAAGAAGAGCCCAAGAGAAATAATCAAGCTTAATTTATCGGAAGTTTGGTGTTTTTATTGGTCAACAATTTTAGGTAATATTGACAAAATTTTATCCGTTTCTAAAGCAAATGAACATTTTCTTAATGAGATTTATTATAAAGTTTTTAAATGATTTATCTTTGGTAATCACCAATTGAATACGTAAATTGTATCAATTGTAGTCTAGAAAAACTTGGAGATGATCTGGTTACGTTCTTCATGATTATAATTTTTATCATGCGTAATAACAAGTTTTTAGTTGGATAAAATAATAGGTTCATTTTTTACCCTATAATCGCGGCCTAAAATTCTCTCTAAAGTTTATCCACTTTGACATTCTTTTATAATGTATTGTTTGCAAAAATTGTTATAAATACCGCTTGAACTCGATAAAGGTATAAAGGTGTTAAATTATCATTTCATTAACAGCTAATAATAATTCATTCACCCTAACATTAATTGTCACAATGAAATTAAATTACTTCATTTTAATTCTTATTATTGTTATTCTAAATGTTTACGTAACAATTACTCGTCACAAAAAATGTAATTAATATCATTATTGCTTAATAATAGTTTATTTTTAAACATATAAAATTTTGAAATTAATTACATTTCATTTATATACCGCATTTTATATCATTTGATAATACCAAATTGTTATTTGTAACCTTGTATTTATTGAATTATTAGATGGTAAGCATAAGTTTACTATAATTATAGTACTACACTTATTTCTAAATTATTTATTCAGTATAAGCTTATATATTTAATTTAAACTTTTCATGCTTCTTAAATTATTCTACTTACAACATTATATTGTATATTAAATCATTAGCTCGTAAGTATAAGCTATATTATATGTATTATATGTGCTATAAAATTATTGTCGACGATTTTTAAAATATACATTTTAACAAATGCTTTTGTCAACTTATTAGCCCGTAAGTTTGAGCTATATTTTATCTGTTTAAAATTCACTGACAAATATTTTAACAAACGCACCGTCAAATTTTTAGCAAGTGAGTATGGTTTTATTATGTTTTTGAAAAAATGTATTTGATCGTAAATTATAAATTTATAACCATATTTTCCTTTATTGAATTATCAGAGGGTAGATATAAACTTTATTGTATTTGCTTATAAAATTTTATTTGATTTTAACGTAAATTTGTAATGCGCATCATCTTCTATCGGATTATTAGCGGGTAAGTATAAGCTTTAGTACATTTATTTTTAAATTTTCATTTGAAGTTTTAAATGATCTATTTATAACTTTATAATATCTATCTCCTATTGGGTTATTAGCATGTAAGCATAAGCTTTATTATATTCGTTTTTAGAAATTACGTTATCAATAATTTATAAAACTACTTTTTTTTTATCAAATTTTTAGCTGGTATGCATAAGCTTTATTATATGTTTTTGTTGCATGGTATTATAACTTTATAATATCTATCTACTATTGGATTATTAGCTTGTAAGTATAAACTTTATTGTATTTGTTTCTATATATTTATTTGAAAATTTATAAATGTTATTTATAATTTTATAATATACATCTTTGATTGAATTATTAGCAAGTAGGTATAAGGTTTATTGTATTTTTTTTGGTTTCAAATTATTATTGAAGATTTTTAAAATATGCATCTAATAAATATTTAAAAAATGGTTCTATTAATTTATTAGCGCGTAATTATAAGCTTTATCTAAATTTCTCATTTGAAGATTTTAAATAATATCATTTAGACAATTATCTTTTATCTCCAGTGTGATGCATCGCTACCCTCTGATCGACCAATCTTAATCAAAACAAAACAAATAGCGACCGGGTTAAAATTAAAATTTCAAGTTAGAACCGATTTTTTTTAAAAAAATCTAATCGCTTCGATTTTCACGTTACACCGCATGAATGATAACTCTTTTATTTATAACTTATAATATTATTTCCTTTTACTGAATTATCAGTGAGTAAGTATAAGCTTTGTCATATTTCTTTCTAAATTTTCGATAAATTTTAATAGGTGCTATTTATAACCTTATACATTTTTTTATTGAATTATTAGGAAGTAAGTATATATTTCTAAAATTTTATTTTATTTTTAAATTATTGGTCGTCTTATTAAGCATGATACACCAACTTGATACATTTGAATTAAAATGTAATTACGCAAAATTTTACATATTAACTTGCAATTAAATAAATATATTTAATATTTGAAGATTTATAGAATATATTTATTAAAAAAAATTAGATTAATTTTTGATTACATATTATTTAAAAAAATCTCAAAGTTGGTCAATTTTTTTAAAAAAAAATTAAAAAATTAAAATATTTTGATATATTTCTAAATTAACCAATCATAATTAAGTATTTTTTTGTGCTACTATGCAAGTACTTTGGTGTAACTTTTGTGTATAAACCTGCAAAATTTCAACTATAATCATCGGAAATTGGTTAGAGATATTAAGTTCTTAGATTCAAAAGTTTAATCTATAAACTTAGTCAACATCTGAATATGAACCAATTTTTTTTATAACTTTGAAGTATATTGATGGAATAGATTAGTGGAGCAACCAAGATTCAGCAAATCGACCAAATCTTACAGTTAGAATATGCCGGGATTGATAAATTTCTCCCAAAATTTTACTATGGCGGCCCACGTCCTAAGTAAAGTGGTCCAAGAATAATTTAGCTGTAATATAGTTGGCTGGTATTATTGCTTAATGCCAGCCTAGCTCCAGGTCCTAAATTTTAGTCGATCTGCTGAATTTGGTTGCTCCATTAAATCTATCCATGATGTAACCAGAATGGTATGTATTCTTTCGACAGTTAACGCTAAGGGTTAATTTGACTTAGAATTAACAGGGATTGATCCTTCACCCAATGTGCAACATAAAAAAAAATTTAATTTACAATACTAGATCATTCCACTAGTACATGTTACGATTATAATCCCACACCATTTATTATAATAAAAATGGTGTGGGATTATAATCATAACATGTACTAGCGGAATGATCTAGTATTGTAAATTTAAAATTTTTTTTTTATATGTTGAATACCGGGTGAAGGATCAATCGCGTAACATCGACAGTTCCTCCTGTTCTTAGAATTACATTGGTCAAGAATTGAATCAGTTTGTCATTAACCGATCAAATTAAATGCATATAATGAAATGAAATAACTCGCATTGAATTAAACTGGGATATTCATGTATTTTACACTGCAAAATATCAAAATTCGAAGCGAATAAGAAAAAACTAAATGAACTTTACAGTAAAATGTTTATTTTTTATTACATGAATACTATATTACGTGCATCTACTTATTGTACTAAAATCGTAGTAAAAGTATATTAAATCCTAGTTTTTTTGTTTCTGAATGCTGCAATTGTGATTTTCACATTTTTTGTATCTTTAAATTTTTCTAATCGGTTAACCGTTTAATCAAGCAACAGTAATATAACTTTGGCTAAGACTAACACAATTTGGCCCGAAACTGTGAAACAATTTTTACATAGAATTAAAATGATTCTTTAAATAGCGCATCCTTTTTGCTTTATAAATAACCTTATGTCACAAAATCTGACTATCTCAATGTATGAATATTTCTAAATTGCTTTACTGAAGTTCACAAACTATGTTAAATTTCCCTTAAGTAATTCCTTTGTTTTTCTAATTAATCGCATTGCTATGTATAATCAAAAGTTTATAACATACTAAAGAAACTAATATATAATCACAAATCGACTTTAGAACGATTGAGCATATACTCAAACTAATCATGCATATATTCAATTGTCCAATTGAAGCTTTTGTCCTAAAGGAACGGTGTTATTACCTATCTATTGATATGCCCTTTTAATCACTGTGAAAGAAACCAATCTAAAGAGGTTCATACTATTTGAATTTGGCTGTTGTCGTCATATAGTTTTAATTCAATCTTTCCAAGAACCAAAATTTGCTTTTAATCTAGATTTGAAAAAAGTGAATAAATGGGCTGGTGTCAATAGATATCAAGCAGATTGATGTTTAAAAAAGAACAATACATTAACTTTCACTGCTCATATCTCGATAATATGAGCGTGAAAGTTAAGGTGTTATTCTTTTTTAAATGTCAATCTGCTTGATTTCTATTGACGCCAGCCTATTTACTATTATTTGGTTTATTCTAAAAATGTCTCGGTATGTTAATACCCTTTACAGATTTTCTTTCCAAATTACATTCCAATGATTGTTGATTGATTGTGATTATGACGACATATTCGTGCAATGCATTAGTCAGTAAAGCATCGATTAGTGATGTAAAACTGTAAAGCATCATTATGTGATGCATAAAGTGAAGTAATATAGGATTTGTAAACTAGAAAAAGTATAAATTAGGAAGTGCTTTTAGTACAAAAATAATAAACCATTTTCTTGTTATAATAATAAATTCTTTTAATCAGAATATGCTTCCACCACCTGCTGCGACATATGAAAGTGCAATTGAACTTTTTCAGAGTGCTCAAACATTTGCCAATTCTCAAGGTTATGTACTGGTAAAAAAGAGAACGCGTAAGGATCATCATGGCAATTTAAAAAATATGATATTGCGTTGTGACCGGGGTGGAGTTTACAACAGCTCAAAAATTCATCAAAGACAAACAAGTACCCGGTTGATTGATTGTCCTTTTGAATTATATGCAGCTCGATGTGATAACTTATGGTACATAAGAGTTCGTGATAGTAGCCATAATCATGACCCTTCAGAAGATTTATCAGGGCATCCAATGTCTCGTCGACTCACAAAGCAGCAATTAGTAAATGTTGAAGAAATGACTGCCTCCGGCTCACGTCCCCGGGAAATAATATCAACTATCCGTCAAAATGATCCATTAGCATTAGTAATATGTAAAGACATTTATAATGCACGTGAGCGACTCCGCCAAAAAAATTTAGTGGGTCGCACTCCAGTTGAAGCATTAATAGATGAGCTTAAAGAGGGTGATTATATATATGAATACAAATGTGATGATACAGGTCATATTACTCACCTTTTTTTTACTCACAATGAGTCTGTTATGCTTACCTGTCGATATTTATTCATTTTTCTTATGGATTGCACTTACAAAACGAACAAATATAGAATGCCGTTATTAAATGTTGTCGGCATAACTAGTTTCAACACTACTTTTTTTTCGTGTTTTATCTTTATGAAAGATGAGGATGAGGAGGATTATCTCTGGGCGTTAACTTGTATTACTAAATTGTTTAATGGAATATCAAATCCTCATGTTATAGTAACGGATAGAGAGTTGGCTCTTATGAATGCTCTCAAAACGGCTTTTCTGGATTCTACTAATTTATTATGCTTATGGCATATTAATAAAAACATAATGAAAAATTGTAAGTCTCAATTCGAAGAAGGTAATGAGTGGCAAACTTTTCTCTTAGAGTGGAATAACGTTGTTCAGTCACAAACTGAAGTTGAATTTGATATGAAATGGCAACATTTCATTTATACTTATACAAACAAACCGCATATTATTAAATATCTTGAAGAAACTTGGATTCCTTTGAAAGAGAAATTCATAAAGGCTTAGACAAATAAGTTTCTTCATTTAGGAACAACTGTTACTTCTCGCGTTGAGGGTGCTCACGCTACAATAAAGACTTATTTACATACATCGGCAGGAGATCTTCGTAACGTTCGTATAAAACTTTCCTTGGCAGTAAATAATCAAAAACAAGAATTAGATACTAAGATTTCATCAGAAAAGATTCGTTTCCCAACTTTTGTACAAAATAATTCTTTATATGCAAACATTAAGAACAAAATTTCGAATTTTGCCCTTAAAAAGGTAGATGAGCAGTACCAAAGGATAAAATGTGCTACCACACAAGATCCCTTACCACCATGCACTGGATCTTTCTCAAGCACAATGGGACTACCTTGTGCTCATAAAATTCAAATTATTGAAAATAATCAAGGTTTAACACTTGATGATTTCCATGAACATTGGTGGATCCAAGAGCATTCGTCAATACCATCTATTGAGACCAACATTCAAGAACTACAGCCTCTTTTGCAAACTTTACAAGAAAAGTATGAAGAATGGCCAGAACACCAACAATCAGCTGCTCGAGAGAAATTAAACAATTTGATTAATACTCCATTAACAGTTTTGCAGAATCCTCAAATTGTTCGTACTAGAGGAAGACCTGCTGGTGCCTCTAATCGTCGAAAAAATAATTCAACCAGAAGAGACCCTTCTGGGTTTGAGTTGGTGGAATGCAAAATAAGATGATGCACCCACTGCAAACAACCTGAACACTATGCCAGCACTTGCCCAAATAGAAACTAAATTAGTATAAGATATAGTATATAGAAAGAATAAGTAATTCTGTATATACATACGCGTCAACAATTATGTAATACAATATGAATGCACAATTCTGCAATTCATATTTGTGTAAAGTTATAATGCTTTCAAAATTACTGTACTTATGATACTTATGAAATTGCCTTCAATTCTACCTCAAACTGCTATACTTATAAAAGGTTCGTGTAGTATTATTATATAATCTATCGCTATTCTTCTACTAAATCCTAAAAATGATTTTATTAGCCTGGCTAAGCATACATCAGAGTTCAGTTCAGTCTTATACGTAAAAGTCTAAAATTGTGAACAATTCAAAACTTAAGATTTTTATTGGCTCAGTATGTATACGTTGTATGAGGCTGTTTGACCATTATTCTTCTTATTTTTTTCTTTTTTATTTCTATTTTCAGTTTTGTTGACCACCGTTATCATTAGTTAGTAGAAAGTACGAAAGATCATATTAGTAATCGAGACCTCTTTTGTATAAAATTTGCCAGTGATTACATTTGTGATTAAACCCATTGTTGAAATAATTCATACGTAATTCGAATTCGATTGTGATCATGTGACCTGAAATAAGCAATACACTTGGAATAAAGAATATAGTAAAAGTATTAGTGTTGGACCAGCACATTGAATATAAGAAATTCACACTAAAAGCAAAAGAGATACTTATCCAAGTCCTGGTAATAACCTTATAAGACAGACCAATCTTTCTCCGCCTCGAACGTAGCTTACCAATTTGAATTTTTCAATCTTGTTTATTAGATATTAGTTAGTGTATAGTATCAGATTGTGCTATTTAGTTATATTAGTGCTAGCTTGCACTTTCATAACGTACATACATGCAGTCAACTCATTCTTTGACGAACAGACGGTTCTGGAAGAAAAAAGAAATTATGTTGTAGAAAATTAATACAGTCAGCTCTGGATACAATGAACCTTTATGAACTCTAAAATAAAGAACTCAAAATTTTGAAATTTCATAATAGTTCAGTATACAATATGCATGGGTTCTTAAGAAAACATATTAATTTTCTATACCGAATTTTTTTTTCTTTCAGAGCTATCAGTTTGTTATAAGAGTTGACTGTATGTTTTCTTAAGAACTCATCGCCTTGTATACTGAACTATTGTGAGCCCCGAAATCGATCGTTGAAATTAGGTCCCGTCGCCTACCCGAGTAACTGGTCACATAAAAAGTAAGAGAAATCTTACTTTTCTTACTTTTATTACTTTGGTTACTTCGGGTAGATCGACGGTATATGGGACATTCGGTTTTTAGTTATTATAGTGGAGAAAGGGGTTTTAAGGATGATATATTGTAAATAGATAATGTAGAGGAAATTATCCTCGAATGTAAATAAAAGTTTTATTATAAATAAAAGGCTTTCCACCCAGGGGGAAAGTAACTGCGATACCCCAAGTCAATACATTGCTAAAATAAACTTAAGTATCGGACTCATATTGAAAGTGAAACTATAACCTAACCCAAACTAAAAACTATCATTAAAACCATCATCATCAACTATCGTTCGCCTATTTGTAACCCACTAAACCGCATTTTGATCGTTCACCGTAAATCACGTGACCAAGCTGTTAACGCAAGAGAAGGACTCCACCCCCGATTCGACGTTTTGTAACCTCAGGTTAAAGAAGTAAAGAGAGGACAAGAGAAGGCAAGGTTAATAGAAGAATAGGATAAAGGAAGGACTTAGAAGAGAAGAATAGTACTTATCTACAGATAAACCACACAGCCAAATCTAACACACCTATTTCAACTAAGCTGCCATAGGTTACACGAGGATTGGAAGGAATTAGTGACAGACTCACCGATTTGCGAATAACACTATCATGAAATTTCAAATTTGAGCTCTTTATATTCAAGTTTATTATATCCAAAATCAAATATATTCACAAACGTCTATTAGTTAGAGAAGTGTAGCATATATTGTATGCAATCGATATACATCACAGCCTTCTTGTTTGATTAAAATAAAACAAGATCTAATTATTAAATCAATTATTTGAGTACATAAGCTTGTATAAATTATTAAATCAATTATTTGACCCTTAGTTAGCTAAAGGATCTTTTTGAATCAACTTAAAAAGGTTACCTTAGATCTTAAGACTTAATCTCGACAAAAGTGTAGTGATATGATTCTTGTGTTTTATATAGTTTGCCTTTAATAAGATTGGTCAGTAACTACTAATAGTTTCTAAAAAATAATTTTTTTAGATTGATAACGAAGTTAGGTTCTTAGTAGCGAAAGTTCTAGCTCAGGCTTATACTTGAGATATGCTTGCAATTCTTAGCACATATGTACACATATGTTTGAGTTTTTTAATCACAGATTTACTGCTCTTTTATCGACTTGGTACAAAATTTTAAGTCACATTTTAGAAAATTTTATTACTATAAATCACATAGGTTGGTTGGCTAATATAGAAACCAATTACATGTTGTATTATATAAAATTTTTTGCAGGGGTAGGGTGGTATGAATAGCAATAATGGGGGGTACAAATAGTATTGCCCTAATTATTATATAAAAAAAAAGATATAATAAAAAGAAAATTACCTATTTAAATTAGTTTATTATATAAAAAATCAATAATTTTATATAGTAAAATTAATAATACTTATATCTAAAAAAGTTAGTAATTATAAAATTTTTTTAAAATTTAAAAATTTTATTTATATTTATATATATATAATAAACTTCT